GCCCTCCTCCCCCCAATGTGTGTCCTGTCACGAAGGGTATTACACCCTCCCAGGCACTGAAGCATGATTCCCCTTATTCACACACATTATGTCTGTGCAATTTTCTTTGGTACTTCTCTGTAAATCTATAGTAGATATTGTGATGTATACTTAGTCCTTGTTTGACTCTCATTAAAATAAAGTTTTATATTTCTCATGTTCATTTTCAATCACATATTTATAGAATAAAATTTTCTGCACGTAAATTCAAATTTTTTTTTTTACTTTTTAATCACACATTTTCCAACACTATTCAAAACATTATTTTTCCCAAATTTCTATTTATAATGGCCTTTAAATAGGGGCTTAATGTAGACGAGAGAAATCTTCTCTTTACCGTTGTGAATGGTGTTTGTAAAATTTGTGAGGCTAGAGAGATTGAAAAAAAAATTGAAATTTGGTTTCTAGTATCGAAGTCTAATTTACTTTATAAATGCTTTACATGTAAGTAGCGTTTAGAAAACATGAACATTTGAACCGGTTGGTGGATAAAAAGGTTTGTTGTACTGATTCTTTAATTTTCTACAAATTTATTTAATCATCTTTAATTAAAATGTTGATTTGAGACTAACAAGAGTAAAGCATAGAGTTTGCTCGACATAGTATTGCATAAGATTTCAACAAAAGATTGAAATATGTTTTACATCAAACAATACATGGAGTAACTCCCGATATAATAGTAAAAGCAAAACGTGTAGGTGATCAACAATTAGTTGGTTGAAAGACTAAAAAGTCGAAGTTGAAAGAGACAAGATTCGGTTCAAATACCATAAAAATAAAGAAAATCTGCTACCCTTTCATTTCTTTGTATCTTCTCTTTCATATTCGATTTCTTAATTCGTCCCGACATGACTTTCTAGAACCGGTCTAAGTATTGTGCGCAACTCATCAAGTAACCATTAAAATAGGATCCACGCAAGGAAAATCACTTGCAATTCGTTGGTATTAGCGACATCCCGAAAACTTTCGGGTCTCACATGTATGCTTAATTCAACAAACAAAAAAAGATTATTAACACAAGATTGCACGAAGCTCAACAAAGCTGGATTGGCGCACCCAGAAAATTGCATGTTTAATTTCCCTTTATAAACACCCTCAGGTCAATCTATCAAAGTAGGAGTATTGTTTCATTTACACTAAAACATTTCATCTTCTTCAAAAAGTCAACTCATGTAAACATCAGAGTCAACCAGTCTCTTTCGCATGACTAAGCACATTGATATAGCTAAAAAGTTGATAAAAATCTAAGTCAAAATCAACGATTAATTATAACCATACATTTTATGGAATTTATAATTTATTCAACTTTTCAACAATACATTTCATCAACTTTTATTAAAATTTTCTAAAAGTTTGATTTTTTAACAAAACCAAACAGGGGATTAGCGGTGTTTTTTTTTTGAAATTTTCCTTTTGACTTTTTAAGTTCTCGACATAAATTAAGATAAAATAACGTCAACATCTAATTCATAATATTTCTCATAATACAGCGCGCATGCACATCGGCGCATGCGATAAATTGATGAATGACTTAGTCCTCTTTCATCCTCATTTCTTAAAACGTATTTTTTTTTTAACTCTTTTTCTTTGCATACATACATTCGTAAAATACCTCATAGATAGATGAAGAGTTGTTAGGAGTTGAAAGTAAATATTGGTTGGGAGAAGCTGTTTCTTGGTTGGACAAGATTTGGTTGGAATTTTATTGTCTACCCAACTTGAGCTTCTCTTTAAATATGGAAAGTCAAAACTCTAATTTAATGCTCCACGACTATGTTAACATCAACCCATTTCTCCACTCACGAGTCCCTTCTTGTCACAATAATTAATTAAAAGAAATATCTAGAATTTTTCTTCATTTTTTTGAGAAAAAAATTAGTAAAAAATTGATAAAATCATTCATATCTTTTATTAAGGGCCCGTTTGGTTTTTATTATTGTAGAACGAGAATGAAAAATATAGCCGTTATTGAGCCCCACACAAGAGATAGAAATTCGAAATTGATGGCTTGATATAATAGATAACGGTCATATTTTTCATTTTTATGGATGAAAAAGGAGAAACAAACGAGGGCTAAGTCATATATTTTTTTGACTAATGGTGTCACATGACACTTTATCATTTATCAATTTAAAATGCAATCCTTTTTATCCAATATTTTCCCTCTACATTATATTATTGTAATTCATTATGTATATTTTTTTATATATAAGTAACAAAATTCTTAATTTAAAGCCAACGTTATTGCTGTTGACTTTTTATAGCTTAAATCTAAGCAGACGCATCATAATTTATGATACCAAAATGTTTTGACTTCAACTTCGTGTGTTCATTTCTAGAATGCAATGCAATACTCAAGTTGAACGCCGTTTACTTAATCGATATTTAATTTATGTTATGTACAGTTGTTAAAAAAATTATAAATTAATGTATTTAAATATTTTTTTTAAGAAGTCGAATGACTATAAAATTTGGAAAATCTTATATTATTATAATAATCTAGAAAAATATCACAGTGATCTCAAAATCTTTTATTTATTTCCATAAAACAATAAACAATTGCATTCAAATGTATCTAATTTAGCCTTGTTAGAATAGAAATTGCAATAAAAGAATTAAAATCTTATGATTTTGACAATACCTTTTTGTTAAGGCCCTATTTGATTGCAATGAATTTAATGGAAAAAGTCACATTCGAGGAAAACAAATTCTATTTTGGCTGTTTGATTGCAACGTGGAAATGGAAACCGAACTTCATTTTCTTTGTTTTCATATAAAACGAATTCCTATTAGTTTGGTCAATTTTTATTTTTCAACTAACATGAAATTAGAATTCCTTTCCACAATTTGCCTATCAAACGGACTCTAATATATAATGAATTTTGCTATTTGTACAATCACCAAGACAACTTTTTTTTGACAATGTGGTATGTTGTCAAAAAGTTATTAGCTACATAAATATTTTTTTTATTAAAATTATCCAGTAACATAATGTCACGTGACATTACGTAAATAAAATTATCAAAAATAATTATGTACATATAAATTTATCCATATTAAGAATAGGAAGCCATATTTTTTTCTTCGTTTCAAACTAAACCACCAAAATGAAAACATATTCTAATAGTAATGTTAGTTCTAATCGACAAAGCCGAAAATACAAGATTCTATTTTTTGCATAAATGCACGTATATATATTTCCCCATGCAATATAATAATAGAAAGTTCTTTTTTTTTTTTATAAATTAATATTGCCCACTTGGGTATATAATATTAACGTTATTTGAAAACCTCCTATATAAACTCACTAAGCAGACACTGGGACTTTTCCCTTCATAATACTTTTTCATGGCATTTTGTGATTGTTAGTCGTTTAACATGGATGGATTTGGATTACACTTCAACTCAGGGAATTGGATCCTTCTACTCACCAGCTTCTTTGTTCTTTGCATCAGCAATTGGTGGTCAAGTGCTGCTGAGGCCTCCACAGTTCCACAAGAGCTTCTTAAAGGTTTCAAGGCCACTCCAAATCCTTCAGTTTCTTCTTTCCAGCCATTACTCAGCGATTCTAATGGTAATTACTCACTGGGTTTCCTCCGAGTCAATAAAAACCAGCTCAACCTAGCTGTTTACCACATCCAGTCTTCGGAACAACTATGGTATGCAAGAACGCCTGGTTTAACGAGATGGGCTCACTCGACGGAGCTCTTCTTCAATGGCAGCCTTGTATTATCTGATCCTCACACGGGGGTACTTTGGTCAACTCAGACGGATGGTGACCGTGTTTGGCTCTCCAACACCTCGAATCTCCAACTCCAGAAGCTCGATGAAGTCGCTATTTTGTGGCAAAGTTTTGATTTTCCCTCAGATACCCTTGTTGAGAACCAAAATTTCACTAGTGCCATGGCTTTGGTTTCTTCAAATGGACTTTATTCTATGCGGTTGGGATCCGATTTTATCGGGTTTTACGCCAAGTTCAACCCGGGTACGGATCCAGGTCAAATATATTTGAAGCACAAAGCATTAGAGGCCAAGGCAGCTATAGTGAAGGGCCAAGGGCCCATACACGTAATTCTCATGTCTGATGGGTATTTGGGTATGTTCCAAACGGGTTCAACTCCAGTTGATGTACAATCGTTCAACAGTTTTCAGCAAAACATATCCGGGATCCGCCGGGTCCGTATCGAACCGGATGGGAATCTCAAAGGGTATTTCTGGACCGGTTCAAGTTGGATCGTGGATTACCAAGCAATATCCGACCCGTGCGAATTGCCTAGTTCATGCGGGTCCTATGGTCTGTGTCGACCAGGTGAGGGATGTTCCTGCCTAGACAACCGGACAGAGCCCATCTCCGGCGGGTGTGTCTCGTCGGAAAATCACATATCTGGTGACCTCTGCCGTGCCTATGACAACAAATACAAAGTACTGCGAAGAAGTGGGGTAGAGTTACCGTATAAAAAATTAATGGGGTACAAGAAAATGGAGTCCATAACACAATGTGAAAATGCATGTGAATTGAACTGTACATGTTGGGGTGCGTTGTACAGTAACTCCTCTGGGTTCTGCTACATGCTAGATTATCCCATGCAAACCCTAGTAGCTGTGGGGGATGAGACCAAGATGGGTTTTTTTAAGCTGCGAGAGGGTGCAGGTAAGAAAAAGGTGGGTACATGGTTAGGCTTGGGATTAGGATTGCTCTTTGGGGCAATTTTGATATTAGGAGGAGTAATAGGGTTATTTTGGTATAAGTTGAGAAACAGAGGAGTCAAAGGGTATGTCGACGAAGAGGGTATTGGTGTGGGTCCATACAAAGATTTAGGGGCCGCTAGTTTTAGGTCAATTGAATTATGTGAAAGGTGACGTAAGGGATGACGGCATGACAATTTTAAAGATTTAGGGCTTATCAATTTGTGGGACCCGGTTTAAATCCACTAGTTCATGGTCCTACTTGGTGCATGCATCATGGAACACGTGTCGTTATGATTCATATTGAGGACTAGTGGCATCTAGATGGTGCAGTTTGGCAACTATCCACTAGTGACTCTTTATTGCGCATAGAGTAATAAAATGTCACTTGATCGATGTACAATTTTTGAAACATTCCCTTAATGCAATTCCAAATCTCTCTTAAAATGTGTTTGTTTCAGTGTTGTAGAGATGAAATAGGGAAGAATCAAGGTGATTGTCTCTCTCAGTAAGTGGTGACGTGAGAGACAATAAAATCAATAATGCTAAATGTACATTCATTCTCTTACATTGATTTTAACATTTTCTTTGTTTTCAGAAATTATGGGCGTGAAATTGTTTTTTTTTTTTTAAACTGTTCAATAGTGTGCTGTCATGTATCACAATGTAAGCAATAATGTAAAATATAATGTACATGTAACATGATTGCAATGAACGAGATTTATACGATAAAGAATCAAGAAATCCCGTTAATTACTAGAAGTAATAATTATGTCGGAAACAATGAAGGTAACTCACCTTTCTTAAAAAAATAAAAATTAAGTTAATAATCTATTTTTCGCAAGTTGATAACCTACTTTCTCATATTGATTGATGTTTGATTAGATCCCTTGTACGTGATAGTTGTCCCGTCAACAAAAATGAGAAAAAGAAGTTTTGTAACCCCTTTTCTCTTTAAGAAGTTGCTTTACCTAATGGAAAATGCTGAACAAACGGGGTCAATGGTAGGAGCATTTTTCGAAGTGGCATTTTTTGATTGGCAGTGTTTTTTTTTAATTTTTTTTTATTTGTTAATGAGACAATGTCAAGTGTATGTAATATGTATGTATAAAGTCATGTAATTGACCCTCGTCCTTGTAGTAGAATTGTTACCTAATTATCTTCGTAATTACTTTTCAAAATTGACTATAAAGTATAAGCCCCTTGTTTGAGTCTCATTTCACTACAACAAAAATGTAATTTTGTGACAATATATTTTGCGATATACAAACAGTTGTTACAATAAGAGATTTAGCACGACACTTTTTTTAAATTTTTTACAAAGTTTGATACGCAAAAAGAAAGTACCAATAACTATAAGACGACATTAAATGTAGAAAACGCAATAAACGATAAGGATTGTCGCCAAAAAATGAGAGAAACAAGGCACCAAAATATTTTTTATGGTAAACTTATGACAAACAAACTTTTATTTCTTGTAACAAAGTGTTTGTGATGCAATAGGATCTACTTTTTTTGACAAGTAATATTTGTTACTAAAAATTTTATAGCTAGTGAAAAAAATAAACTGTTTTTTTTTTTTTTTTTTTTT